ATGCGTCTGCGTTCCGTGTCTGGGGATCTCGAGCTTTCGTCTGCGACTTGTCTGCGGACATGCTGTCCTCCCGTGCTGTTCCCTGCGTCTTCCTTGGCTTCCCCCTTGACGCGCCTGGTTGGCAGTTTTACCACCCCACCTCGCGCTGTGTTTTGTCCTCTCAGGACATCACGTTTGACGAGTCGGTTCCTTTTTACCGTCTCTTCCCCTACCGCGCTGCCCCCCTTCCCCCCCCGCCGCTCTTCCTTGCGCCAGGTCCTCCCCCGGTAGACCCCCTCCCACCTTAGGGTCCTGCCCCCTCAGGTGTGTCCCAGGTAGACGCAGTCGAGCCTGTTGAGGTAGCTGTTGACTCTGGTGCTGCTAGGGGTGCTGAGCCTGGGGGTGCTGAGTCTGGGGGTGCTGCGTCTGGGGGTGCTGAGTCTGGGGGTGCGGAGCCTGGGGGTGCTGAGCCTGCGCATGTGGCGTCTGGAGGTGGTGAGCCTGGAGGTCCCTCGGGTGCTTCGTCCCGACCGGAGCCACTCTCTCCACAGCAGCTACGTGAGTGGTTTGCTAGGCGCTGTAGTCGTGCTGCTGGAGCTGGTGGTGCTACGGGCGCTGGCGGTCCTGCTCGGGGTTCTGGAGCCACTGGTCCCGGAGGTGCTCGTACTGGAGGTACTGGAGCTGCTGGGCCAGGTGGTGCTGCTGGAGCTGCTGGAGGTGCTGGAGCTGGTGTTGCTGGAGGTGCTGCTGGAGCTGCTGGTGCTGCTGGTGCTGCTGCTGCTGGTGCTGCTGGAGGTGCTGGAGCTACTGGAAATGCCGTAGCTGGCGCTACTGAGGCTACTGGGGCTTCTGGTGGTCCTGCTGGAGCTGGAGCTGCTGTGGGTGCTGGAGTTGGCGAGACTGGTGCTGCTGGCGTTGGAGCTGCCACTGGGGGTGCTGGTGCTGTCCCTCCTAGTTGTGGAGGCACTGCGCGGCCGAGGCCGTACTTCGTTCCGCTCCTTCAGCAGGTTCTTGGTCTCCCGCCGTCCACTGGTCCTGCTCCATCCTTAGAGTGTCCACCGCCTGTCCAGTCGCAGTCACAATTACAGCCCGCCTCCCCACTGCCTGCTCCTTCTCCTTACATTGGTCCGACCGGAGGTCTTACGGAGCGTCGTGAGCCTGAGTCTCGTCCTGCGTTGCCTGTTCGTACTGCTCGCACTGGTCGTTGTGGTTCGCGTCAGCGTCCTCCTCCTGTCCCTGGCACGCACCAGATGGCTCTGCGTCCTTCCACTGCTCCACAGCGTGTTCCTCTGCCGTCTCCTCCTGCGTCCTCTCTTCCTACCCTTCCTGACCCGGAGTCTGACTCCCTTCGTGCTGCTAGTCCTACTGTCACGCGTCTCCTGGCCACTGTTGTCACTGACCCTTCCTTTGAGTCCACTGCTGCGTCTGCCTTAGTTGCTGAGCTTGTCGACTTTGCTGCTCACTGTCGTCTGGACGACGTCGCTAGTCTTGTTGCTGAATCTGAGTCTGTCTGTCCTCCGTCCGTCGGGGGTGAATGTGCTCTTGGCACGGACGTCCTTGAGGACAGGCAGGAGGAGTTCCAGTGTTTTGCTGCTGCTTTACCTCATCTCGTGTCCATGCTGCTTGCCCCTGAGGGAGACCTGGATGCACTAGACATCCCGACTCCGCGCTCTTACGCAGAGGCGATAAATGGTTCCTACTCCTCTCAGTGGCAGACAGCCATGGACGCAGAGATGGCTTCCTGGAAGTCCACAGGCACCTACGTCGACGAGGTTCCCCCTCCTGGGGCGAACATTGTCGATGGCATGTGGATTTTCAGGGTAAAGCGGCCGCCGGGTTCTCCGCCTGTCTTCAAGGCGCGCTACGTGGCTCGAGGCTTCAGTCAGCGGCAGGGAGTTGACTACTTTCAAACCTAAGGACCGAGTGAGAGTAGAGCCGAGTGGCCCATACCCAGAGCTTGTTGGCTGCCTCATGTACCTGATGACCTGCACTCGACCTGACCTGGCATACCCTCTTAGCATCTTGGCACGCTATGTTGCTCCTGGGAGACACCGACCAGAGCACATGGATTCGTCTAAGAGGGTGTTGCACTACCTGTACAGTACGTCGGGCTTGGGGCTCGTGCTTGGAGGACGGGCTCGAGTTGTCCTCACTGGTCACGCAGACGCTTCTTGGGTTGACGACTTGGCTACGCAGCGGTCGTCACAGGGTTACACCTTCAGCCACTCGGCACCGGCTCTGTTTCGTGGCGCTCTACCCGCTCGTCTTTTGTTCTCAGCTCCAGTTGTGAGGCTTAGATCTTCGCTGGGGCCATGGCTGCACAGGAGTTACGCTGGCTCACCTACCTGCTGACCGACTTGGGAGAGGCGCCTCGTTCTCCTCCAGTTCTGTACGTCGACAACAAGGCCATGCTGGCCTTGTGTCAGGAGCACAGAATGGAGCACAGAACGAAGCACATTGCTCTGCGCTACTTCCTTGCTCGAGAGTTGCAGCAGCGTGGTCAGCTTCGTCTTGCTTACGTGGCCACCCGGGCCAACACTGCTGATATCTTTACCAAGGCACTTCAGCCTTGTGATCATCAGCGTTTTTGTACTCTGTTAGGTCTTGTTCCTACCTGGCCTCACTTGCTCACCTCTTGACTTTGTCTTGTACTCTGATATATAAACCTGCATGTTTCTAGTTGCTAGGTTGTAATCATTGTACTACTTGCTCTATTATAAAACTGCATGTGAACTGGCCTTGTGGCCACCTGCTTGTGCTCAGATTGTGTGGTGTCCTTGAGATCCACCCTGGGCTTTGCCTTGTTTGTTCTCCTGCTTGACTGGTCTTGTGACCACTGTTAGGTTTGGCTATCCCCCCTACTTCACCTATGGGGGTGTGTCAAATTATATACTTCTAGTTATTTCCCTCTAGGTTGTGTAGGGGTCATTCCTTAGAGGGTACAACCCAATTCTCTCGAATGTCTTGTACCCCCTCCCCTTACCTAATAGACATACCTTCCTAATTTTCTCAACAGAGTCATCATAAACATTCATGACTCGTCATGAACCGTCATGACTGTTTATGACCCACAACGAAACAAATGAAAAAGAATGCAGAAACGAATGCACACAAAACCCACACAAAATACATGGCTTCATGCAAGCGGCTGGTTGACGTGCAAAAATGGTATTTACACCGAAAAAAATGTGAGTTCGGGATGTCGAGTAGAAGACGTCATTGTATTTCCTTATTCTTTGTCTTCTATGTCATTGTCGGCCACCTTGTTGACTGGATTGGTCTCGCGCGTGAATTAGAGCTTCCATTGATACCATTTTTGCGGCACGTTACTCTCGCAAGGCTTGTTTTTTGAGCCACTCGACTCCCATCAAGCCACGGGTTCTGGGGTCATAGCAAAAAACCTAGTTGTGGGCAACGAAGGCCCATCTACTCATGTCTGAACTGAGTCCGTAACGGGCACAGCAATAAGATTCAAAAGGCTGATACCTGTTCGTAGGGGAGAGAGAGGACGTGCTTTGTCAGCAACGTTGTCGTCCTCTTTACTTGCATCAGGTGCCATAGCTAGGAGAACGCTAGGGTAGAGGGAGATGTGAGGTGGCTAGTCAGATAGGAATGGATGAATCATGAAACAAAAAATGCGTGAAGAAATGGTAGACGAGGACGGGTCTCTCTTGCTGTGATGCTGGGGTGGGGTGAGATGAGTGGGTGTCATGTGTTAGAATCTTAGGCAAGAGTAATGGGATTAGGTCAAGAAGGGGTACAAGAAGAATGTCGAGAGAAATTCAGTACCTCCTATTGCTAACCCCCAGATACCCTAGTTACACATAATCATGCATATGATTTGACACACCCCCATAGGCGAAATGGGGGATAGCCAGAGCAAGCAATGGTCACAAGACCAGTCAAGAGAAGAAACAAAACACAGCTCAGGGTGGATCACAAAGTCACCACACACACTGAGCACAAGCAAGAGGCCACAAGGCCAGTTCACATGCAGAGTTATAAAAGCACAAGCAATACAGTGAACAGAACCTAGCAGGTGTAAGCATGCAGGTATATATATATATATATATATATATATGTATATGTAGATATAGTACAAGCAAGTCAAGAAGTAAGCAAGTGAGGAAACGTAAGCACTAGGCCTAGAGTAGCACAGAAGCGCTGTGGTCACCAGGCGGAAGAGCCTTGGTGAACACATCAGCAGTGTTGGCCCGGGTGGCCACGTAAGCAAGACGAAGCTGACCACGCTGCTGCAACTCTCGAGCAAGGAAGTAACGCAAAGCGATGTGCTTCGTTCTGTGCTCCAGTCAGTGCTCCTGACACAAGGTAATAGCAGCCTTGTTGTCGACGTACAGAACCGGAGGAGAACGAGGCCTCTCTCCCAAGTCGGTCAGCAGGTAGGTGAGCCAGCGTAACTTCTGTGCAGCCATGGCTGTGGCGTAGATCTCAGCCTCACAACTGGAGCTGAGAACAGAAGACGAGCGTGTAGACCGCCAAGAAATAGAGCCAGAGCCAAGGCTGAAGGTGTAACCCTGTAACGACCGCTGTATAGCCAGGTCGTCAATCCAAGACGCGTCTGAGTGTCCAGTGAGGACAATGTCACCCCGTCCTCCAAGCACGAGCCCCATGCCCGATGTACTGCACAAGTAGCGTAACACCCTCTTAGCAGCCTCCCAGTGCTCTCGCCGGTGTCTCCCGGGCGCAACGTAGCGAGCTAGGATGCTAAGAGGGTACGCAAGGTCAGGTCGAGTGCAGGTCATCAGGTACATGAGGCAGCCCACAAGCTCTAGATACGGGCCACTCGGCTCTACGGACTCATCCGAAGGCAGAGCTGAAAGCGAGTGACCCGTAGCCATAGGAGTGGACTGCGGCGAGGACCAAGTGAAGCCGAAGCGCTGAAGGACCTTCTGCACCATGTGTGACTGAGTCAGGGTGATGGTGCGGCGAGCTCTGTCCCGGGTGATCTGCAAGCCAAGATAACTGCGCAGCTCACCCAGGTTTGTGCACGTGTGTCTCTTCTACAGCTCCGACTTCACAAGGGCGAGTGCCTCAGTGTCAGCAGTGGCAAAGACCAAGTCGTCGACGTACACGAGGATGTAGAACGGCGACAGCGAGGTGTCGGTGCGCAGAAACAGCGACGGGTCAGCAGTGGAAGGAGCAAACCCAAGAGCCGCAAGTGTCATCCTCAGTGTGTCGTGCCACTCACGAGGTGCCTGACGGAGACCGTAGACTGGCCGGCGGAGGCTCCACTGGGTACCAGGAGAGAACGACCCAGTGAAGCCAGGTGGGCGGCGCAGCGAGATCTCCTCATGCAAACTGCCCTACAAGAAAGCTGTGCTGAAGTCAAGAGAGTGAAGCTCGTAGTCACGCTGAGCGGCAACGTGCAGCATCACCCGAATAGTGGTCATCTTCGGGGTAGGGGAGAAGGTCTGGAAGAAGTCAACTCCTTGTCGCTGACTGAAGCCTCGTGCGACGTAACGAGCCTTGAAGACAGGCGGAGAACCCGGCGACCGCTTCACCCTGAAAATCCACATGCCATCGACAATGTTCGCCCCAGGAGGGGGAACCTCGTCGACATAAGTGCCTGTGGACTTCCAGGATGCCATCTCTGCGTCCATGGCTGTCTGCCACTGAGAGGAGTAGGGACCCTCTATCGCCTCTGCGTAAGAGCGCAGGGTCGGGATGTCCAGTGCATTCGGGTCTCCCTCAGGGGCAAGCAGCATGGCCACGAGATGAGGCGCAGCGGCCGCAAGACACTCAAGGTCCTCCTGTCTGTCCTCAAGGACGTCCGTGCCAAGAGCACACTCACCCTCGACGGACGGAGGACAGACAGACTCAGACTCAGCAACAAGACTAGCGGCGTAGTCGAGACGACAAGCAGCAGCAAAGTCAACAAGCTCAGCAACTAAGGCAGACGCAGCAGCGGACTCAAACGAAGGGTCAGTGACAACAGTAGGTTGAGCAGCACGAACCAGGTCAGACTCAGGGTCCGGAACGTCAGGAAGAGAGGACGCAGGAGGAGACGGCAGAGGGACGCGCTGAGGAGCAGAGGAAGGACGAAGTGCCATAGTGTGAGTACCTGGCACAGGGGGAGGACGCGGACGCGGGACACGACGGCCAGTGTGGACAGTGCGAACAGGCGAGGCAGGACGAGACGCAGGCTCACGATGCTCTGCAGGCGACTCAGACTGCGCAGGGTAAGGAGAAGGCGCAGGCAGTAGGGAGCCAGGCTCTAACGGAAGGCCAGTAGAAGATGAAAGGGTAAGAACTTGGCAAAGGACAGAGTCAGGTGGTGGCAGGGTCGTAGGCGACGGTGGAGCAAAGAACAGGCGCGGCTGGGCAGAAACACCAGCTCCAGGGTCCGCAGCACTACCAGCGCCGACAGCTTGAGCATTCGAAGTGCGAGCACCTTCGGGACCAGCAGTGCTCGAACGACCAGCACCACCAGCACCAGTCGCACCACCAGCTCCAGCAGCGCCAGAACCTCCAGCAGCAGCACCTCCAGCAGCTCCAGCGCCTCCATCGGCAGCGGCTCCAGCTCCTGAACCCCCAGCTCCAGAACCTCCAGCGGCAGCGTCTCCAGCTCCAGAACCTCCAGCTCCAGCGCCTCCAGCTCCAGCACCTCCAGTGCCGGTGTCCCCAGCTCCATCACCTCCAGCAGTGCCGCGCCGGAGGCGAGTGCGCTGAGCGAGCCACTCGCATAGCTGCTATGGTGAGAGGGGTTCCCGCTGGGGAGACTGCGGAAGGGAGGCACCAAGAAGATGACCAAGGGACCCAGCTCCCCCAGGCTCAGCACCCCCAGGCCCAGCACTCTCAGAAGCAGCACCCCCACGCTCAGCACCTCCAGAAGTAGCACCCCCAGGCTCAGGACCCCCAGACCTCAGCTCTCGCAGAAGCAGCACCCCCAGGCTCAGCACCCCCAGGCCCAGCACCCCCAGACGTAGCACCCCCAGGCTCCTCACCCCCAGGCTCAGCACCCCCAGGCTCAGCACCCCCAGGCTCAACACCCCCAGGCTCAGCACCCCCAGGCTCAGCACCCCCAGACGCAGTACCTCGAGTAGGACCACCCCCAGTAGCACCTGAGTCACCAGTGACCTCAACAGGCTCAGATAAGGGAGGAGGGTCTACCTGAGACACACCTGAAGGAGCAGGACCGTGAGGGGGGAAGGGGTCTACCGGAGGGGGACCTGGAGCGAGGAAGAGCGGCGGGGGGGGGGGGGGGGGGGAGAGAGGTAGTGTGGTGGGGGAAGAGACGGTAGAAGGGAACCGACTCGTCAAAGGTGACGTCCTGGGACGCGAAGACACGGCGCGAGGTGGGGTGGTAAAACTGCCAACCAGGCGCGTCAGTGGGAAAGCCAAGGAAGACACAGGGAATGGCGCGAGAGGAGAGCTTGCCCGCGGTGGAATCGCGGACAAAGGCACAGGAACCCCAGACCCGGAAATGCGACGCATCGCCAACCTCCCCCGTCCAACGCAGGGTGGGCGAGGTCTCTGGCAAGGAGACACGGGGCCAGAGGTTGAGCTGATGCGCAGCGTATCGGACCGCAAACGGCCACAGAAAATGGGGAGCAGCCGCATGGATCATGGAGGTACGAGCCACCTCCATGACTAATCCAATGCGGCGCTCAGCAACCCCATTCTGCTGCAGGGAGCCCGGAAGCGTGAACGACTGGAGGATGCCCAACCCCACGACAAAAGCCCCGCAAGAGGTCGGAGGAGAACTCACCACCTCTGTCAGAGTGCAGGCGCAGGACAGGAAGGTCCGTGTGGAACCGCTCGCGGAGCTGGAGACGGACAGCTCGGATCCAAGGGATCAAGACATCAGGGACCTCCCCCTTTCTACACAAGGGGAAGACCATGGTGTAACGCGAGTAGTCGTCGACAACCAGCAGAAAGTATCGCTCACGGCTCACTCCCTGGACGCGGGCTGGGCCCCACACGTCCAGGTGGAGAGTCTGCAGGGGAGCAGTCGTCGGGGGAAACGAGGAGGAGTGAGGAGCGGCGCGTTGCCGCCCCTCGACGCAAGGAATGCAGGGCGGGGCAGGCGAGGGTGGGAGGGAAGGCAGAGACCTGGGAAGACCAGAGACCAGAAGACGCGAGTGCATGCCACGAAGGCAAGGCAGGGAGGGGTGACCAAGCCTGTGGTGCCAGAGGAGAGTCTGGTGTGACAGGCGGCGATACTCAAAAGGGGTAGCGACCTGAGCTGACGCGGACAGCTGAGGGGACCTAGGAGCGTAGCGCGTCACTGTGGTGAGGGTGTACAGACTGGACCCAGGCTCACGTGTGAACGTGGCAAGGTGACGGCCCATCGTGGAGCAATTACAGATCGCCACACGCAGGCCTCCAGGAGTGAAGGTGTCAACCCACTGATCCTGGAGGACAGCGTTGCTCACCAAGTTCTTAGAGAACGAGGGGAGGTGGAGACCTGACAGTGAGCCGGACGGAACCGCCGGACACGGGAGCACAGTGGAGGAGTGTGCAACATCCGGGCCCCCTGAAGGGTCAGCCAGTGAAACTGCAACCAATCTAGTGAGTGGTGTGAGTGTGGTGCTGTCGCGAAAGAAACAGCGTGCAGCACCTAAGTCAAGAGTGAAGGTGTACGAGGCCTCAGCAGGCGCAGTACCAGAGAGAGCAGACTCACTAGCACCTAGAGCAGCAGCCTCTATACTGGGGTCATACGGTGCACACAAGTAGCAGTCACCCTCAACACTAGTAGACAGAGCATACATTCCAGCAATGATAGTATTGAAGTGTAGAGCAAAGATATCAACACCAGAGTTAAGCAGTGCAGCCCAGCGGGGCCGCTCATAATCATCGCCCATCTCCTGACGCCAGGCGTCGTCTAGGCGAGAGAAACAGCGGTGCGGGGTGTGGAACTTCCCGCACGTTTGACCAGCGCGACTACCAGTGCGAATAACGTATGAGCAGCGACCACTACCACCACCCCTAGACGCAGCACGCTGAGCAAGCCACTCACGAAGCTGCTGGGGTGAGAGGGCCTCACGCGGACGCTGCTGCTGCTGCTGCTGCTGACCAGCTCCAGAGTGATCACCACCGCCGCCGCCGCCACTTCCGCCGCTACCAGATCCGCTACCACTGCTCCCACCGCCACCACGACCGCCGCCACCACCACCCCCGCTGCCGCCGACGCTCCCACTCGCTCCACCACCACCACCACCTCCACCTCCACCACCTCCACCACCTCCACCACCCCAGCCACCTCCCCCACCTCCCCCACCACCGCCACCCCCACCACCCTTGCCGCCCTTGCCCTTGCCACTGCGGCGCTTCCCACTAGGAGCAGAAGCAGCCCCGACCTCCTCAGTACCCAGGAAGTCGACAGCAGCGGCAGAGGCAACAGAGGGGGCAAGGGGGGAGGGGGAGCACCCCTCAAAGAAGGGCGTGCGAGGGGTGCCACGGGTAGCACCTACAGTGACTACGTTAGCCTCAGCTGCAAGAAGGTGCTTCCCTAGCACGTCGATGGTGAGGTATGTGGGGGGGAGAACGAGGAGGGTGTCCCGGACGGCACTAAGAGCGTCAGGGAGGCGGGTGACGATAAAGTGGAGAGTGATGTAGATGGGGGGGCGTCTGGGAGGGCAGCGCGGTAGCGAGCGGTAATAGATCTGAGGTGGGAGAGGAGGTCGTCTACTGTGGTGAAAGAAGACAGATCGGGGAACAGGAAGGGTAGGAAGAGGCAGCTAAGGGCTGCAGTGGCAGGGGAAGAGTAGCGTGCAATAACAGCGTCATAGAGGGCTTTGGCTGTCGTCGCTTGGTCAAAGTGTTTGCATTCAGTCACTGGTAGGTGGTTGCGAATGGCTAGGCGGGCAGCAGCATCACGAGTAAGCCACTGTGAGTGGGTGGTCGCATCAGCTGTGGCTAGCGGGGCTGTAGAGGCACCAGTCGCTAGGTCATAGAGCGAAACACCGTCCCTAGCGTCACTGAGCAAGTACAACTGCAGATCCTGGAGCCAGGTATCGAATTTAACTGGGCGGCCGTCAGGATCAAAAGAAAGGACGCGCAGAGTAGCCATAGCTGAGCAGCAAGGCGGTGTAGCAGGGAGGGAGGTGCGCAAGGATGTAGGAGCGATGTGTCAAGATAGTAAGAACAGTGAGAAGCCATAGCTAGGGTTGACCTAGCTAGGCAAGCAAGAAATGAACAAAGGAGGGGTTGCACTAGTAAGAATGGGGATACAAATAGCAAACCCTAGAAGGGTTGTACTCGCTATAGAGCACCCCACTACAGGCTAGAGCATAATATTCTGACACACCCCCATAGCCAAAGTGGGGTGTAATCAGCAGAGCAAGCAAAGCAGTACAAGCTCAGGGTGGATCACAATGTCACCACACATTCTGAGCACAAGTTCAAGAAGCAATAGTTTAAAGTTCACAATTATGAGCAAAGCTAGTGGTAGTCACAACGGGCAAGTGAGGAGGAGGAAAGAGACTATGAGAGGAGAGGAGGTAGTGGGCGGCAGCTGAAGCTGCTGGCACACGGCGCAACTGGAGCAACTGGCACACGGGCAACTGGAGCAACTGGCACACTGGCAACTGGAGCAACTGGCACACGGGCTACTGGAGTAACTGGCTCCGCGGCTGAAAGTAGCGGCAGACGAGCAACGGACTCACGGGCGACTGGAGCAACGGGCTCACGGGCGACTGGCGCAACGGGCTCACGGGCGACTGGCGCAACGGTCTCACGGGCGACTGGAGCTGCTGGCTTCACGGCGGCCACCCCCTTCAACCTCCCCAAACTATCCCACTCCCCCTGACACACACCCGCTGCTACACCGCTAGCTCCACTCCCCCTTCACCCCCCCTTAGTACCACTCCGACGGCTCCAACAGGTCCACCCCCCTCAGCGGCAGCTGCAGCTCAGGGAGACGGAGGAGGAGGAGGAGCAGGGAACGGCACACAGAAGCTGCACCCCCATACCCCCCACCCCCAAACCCTAATAAAGGAGTACGGGCAGAAGGAGGGGTGGGGCGCCTTCAGAAGCACGGGGGACAGCGGGGAGGACAGGGGCAGCGAAGAACGGGCCGCCCTTTGGTCTGGCACAGCCTCCCGAACCGCGCGCAGGCGGCCCGAGCCGCGCGCGGGCCTGGCGCAGCCCGTACGGGCCGCGCGCGGGCCTGGCGCAGCCCGTACGGGCCGCGCGCAGGCCTGGCGCAGCCCGTACGGGCCGCGCGCCGGCTGTACGGGCCGCGCGCAGGCCACGACGGGCGACGGGGGGCGACGCGCGGGTCCCCGTCGCCCGTCGCAGCGCCTCCCGGGAGCAACGCGCGGTGTGACGGGGCAGAAACCCGCCGCGCGCCTCGGGGCGCACGGCGGGCAGAGAACCGCCGCGCGCCTCGGGGCGCACGGCGGGCAGAAAACCGCCGCGCGCCTCGGGGCGCACGGCGGGCTGAAAACCCTAATTTCAACGCCGCGTACCACGAGGCGCGCGGCGGACAGGGAGTAGCAGTAGCAGCGGAAGCAGTGAAGTGGTGGGCCCACAGGACAGGAGCGTAACCGCTCTGTTACCATGTCAAGATAGTAAGAACAGTGAGAAGCCATAGCTAGGGTTGACCTAGCTAGGCAAGCAAGAAATGAACAAAGGAGGGGTTGCACTAGTAAGAATGGGGATACAAATAGCAAACCCTAGAAGGGTTGTACTCGCTATAGAGCACCCCACTACAGGCTAGAGCATAATATTCTGACACGACGCACACGACAGAGCAGAGGCATCGCGAGGGCCGCAGGGGAAGGGCGCTGGCTGCAAAGGCGGCGCGCGTGGAAGGGCAGGGGGCAGCACGAGGGCCGCAGGAGGCAGCATGAGGGCCGCAGGGGGGCAGCGCGAGGGCCGCAGGGGGCAGCACGAGGGCCGCAAGGGGGGGGGGGGGTGGGGCAATGCGCGCGCTGCAGTGGCAGGGCACGGGCGCAGGGGGCAGAGCGCGGGCGCAGCAGGTAGCCGCGGGAGTAGGGAAGGCGGCGCGCGGGGCTGCGGGGCGACGCGACGAACAGCGCGCGCGCGGGGCTGCGGGGCTTCAGGGCGACACGACGAGCAGCGCGCGCGCGGGGCTGCGGGGCTGCGGGGCGACGCGACGAGCAGCGCGCGCGCGGGGCTGCGGGCCTATTGTGAATATAACAAGTGGTATCAGAGCGCCTTGGAGCAGTATCGACTATGGCTAGACCTGAAGAAAGGGGTGGCAGAGGTGCTGGAGGCAATGGTGAAGCCGAAGCACAAAGCCAACCCCGTGATCTCGAGCAACCAAGTCTTGGCCCATCTAGGGATGAGCCTAGAGTGTTTGGCCTTGACAAGTTCAACGGTGACAACTTTGCTGAGTGGTCCTTCAAAATAGAGAACATATTTGATCACTATGACCTGTTGGAGGTGATGGAAGGAACGGAGAAGCGCCCTGAGAAAGTCGCGGAGAAGAGCCCGTAGGTGCGGAAGAGCGCGCATGGCTACCTCCTACTTGGGCAGGCGTTGGGGAGCAGCCAGATCCGTCACATCAAGCCATTCCAGCGTGAACCAGAGAAGGGACCAAAGGCATGGGCTGCTCTCAAGGGTGTACACACTCCTGCAATAGCGGCGGTAGCGGTGGTGTTGGAATGGCAAATGGCGGCACTACGAATTGAAGAAGACGAAGCAGTTGAAGAAGGGGTGCAGAATTTCTTCGACTTGTTGATGCGGCTTGAAGGAGCAGATCTCAATTACAATGAGCTCCAAAAGAAGACCAAGCTGCTAGCCTTTCTCCCCAAGTCATGGTCCTCGCTCATTATCAACCTTAATCGTGATTTGCCCCACCTCTCGTTCGAAGATGTGAAGCGAGCAATCCTTCAAGAGGACTTCCGCCGCCGTGAGTTGGCGGGTTCGGATGGCGCCAGGGCAGCAAGCATCGGCCGTGGATATGGCCGAGGAAGAGGCAGAGGACGAGGGGGAGGCAGATTTGGCAGCAACAACTTCAATGGAGGCCGCGGGAATGGCAGTTACGGCAGCAACAACAAAAGCTTCGGATGCGGTCGCGGACGATTTGACGGCGAATGTCACTATTGCCACAAGAATGGACACATGTGGTGCGACTGCTACAAGCTCCCTGATGGTTCGACCCCTGCTCAAAACCAAGGGGGAAGAGGATCAGGTGGAGGGAGAGGAAGAGGCCGTGGAGGCCGTGGTGGTCGCGGAGGTGGTGCTGAAAACATGAAGAGTGACGGCTATGAGAGCGAGTCGAGGGACGATCGCTTTCAAGGTCAATTCTTCTTCGTCTCGACGCAAGCAACGGCTGGTCCAGGGAAGGATGAAGGCTTTGAGGAGCCAGCAGCTGTGGGAAAGGTCACCCTACACTCCCTGGACTATTGGGTGATCGATAGCGGCGCTACCTATAGCATGACATCTCACGCAGACTTGCTCACCGAACTCGAACCGTCACCGGTGAAGCATGTCACATCGGCTTTTGAGCAGCAAGCAGAGGTGAAAGGCATGGGCAAGGCCATGTTTAAGGGTGCTGATGGGAAGATGGTGGGCCTCAAGAATGTGCTTTGGGTGCCAACCTTTCTGACAAATTAATTTCCGTACGGCGGTTGCAAAAAGCCGGCATGGACACGAGCTCGAAGGGAGCCAAGACCTACACCACAAGGCTTGGCGAGCAGATTCTATGGGACCTTCGTAAGGATAGGGATGTCTACAATGAGCTATGGCAGATCCCTGTGGTCCCAATGACTAAGGAGAGGCAAGTTGCAGCAAGCATCAGCACCAAGGGTGAAGCGGTTGGTAGCGGCTATGGCGCAAACGATGGCGCCAAGGAGAAAGAGTCCAAGGAGTGCAATCTTGGAGGGACCAACAAGCAGTGGGAACTCAAGGATAGTAGTGCAGCAGCCAAGAAGCAGCATAAGGGTGAGGAGAACCCTGAGGCAGCAGCGGAGGAGGATTGCAGAGAGAGCATGTGGAACACTATCGCAAGTGCGGCATTCTCCAATCCGACTTCGGCTACGGGGGAGTGTGATTGGTTGACTTTGCCTTGGCGCATGGGGCAGGTGGCGTTGCCCATATTGCAGCAGCTAGTGAAGAATCAGATGGTTGGTGGCATACGTGTGAAGGGGGAGCCCAATGAGGTGCTTGGCTGCCCGACGTGCATGCAAGCCAAGTTCACCCGTTTCCCGTTCTCTAGTTCGGAGGCAAACAGCGAAGGCACCGCTTAATGAGGTGGTAATGGATGTGGTGGGCCCCTTCAAGCTTGGAGCTGCTGGAGCAGAGTGCTTCCTAACCATTGTCAACGTCTACACCCACATGACCTGGGTGTACGTGCTGTCCAAGAAGAGCGACGTGGCTGAAACGGTCTAGACCGATTGGTTGCCGATGGTGGAGCGGCAACAAGACCGTCTTGTGAAGTCAATCCGCACCGATCGAGGGGGAGAGTTCTTGAGCAAGGAGTTCTCCATGTGGCTGAAGAAGAATGGCATAAGGCACTCCCTTAGAATGCCATACTCCACTGCAATGAACGGCATTGCAGAGCGAACGAACCGGACAATCACGGAGACGGCACGCGGGTTGCTCATTGAAGCCGGGCTACCCGACTATTTCTGGCCTGATGCGGTGCGAAGTGCATGTGTGGCCAAGAACAGAGCCTTGACTCATGTGGGAGCAGACAAATGGGTGCCCTATGTGGAGTGGATTGGAAGGAAGCCAAAGGTGGATATGCTTTGGGTGTTGGGGTGGATGTGCATGGCGCTCGTGCCTAAGCATCTTCGGCACAACAAGCTTGGTGCCAA